TCCCGAGCGTGGAGCGGGCTGGTGTCGTCTTACACGCCTTATATAGCCCGCACCGGCCCGGGGAGAGCGGGGGCACGCTGGCCCCCGGCCCTGCAGCCTCCGCCGCCTCCCAGCTGGGAGCCTGTCGTCCCTTGCAAGGGGTGGGGAGGGCCCCGGGCCCCCGGAGCTGGCCCTGTCCCCCGCCTGGCAGCTGCAGGAGAAAGGTTCTGGGGGGCTTCGCAGGGGCCTGGCGGCTCCTTCCGGGGTGAGGGGTGGCCGGGAGGTTGGGGCCGGCCCGTCTGCCCGGAGCCTTGGCCGGCTGACAGCTGTCAGCGTGGCCCTGGCAGGCAGGGGAGCGCCGGGATTCCCTCCCCGCCGAAGCCCCGGCTTTGTGCGCAGAGATGGGCTCGCTCCCAGGTAGCATCTGCTCGTCTGGCTGCCGGAGCGCTAGCCTGGCTGCTCTGCCAGGCACCTCGGGTGGCATCAGGCAGCTCCTGCGCTGCTGCTGCTAATTCACCTGGCAAAAACGCTTCTGGTTCCCATCTTTCCGTACCTGCTGCTGCTTTTCTGCGGTTTGAAATGGTCTCAGCTTTCAGCAGTGTGAGTTTCTGAGGTGCTGCAAGGGAGAGCACGTCCTGGGTTTGGGAGAGGGAGAGCGGAGCCCGCAGGTGCTCCGCTGTGGGTGGCAGCGGGGCTGTACCTGGCTCCCTGACACTAGGCAGCGTTAGCCTGGGCCCCTTGGCTCTGACGCTGATGGAGGAGATGCTGATAGATTTGGGGTGCGTCTCTAACCACAGTGTAGGATGGTCAGGGTGGAGTTACTCCTGGAAACGTGACCTGTCTCCTCCTGCCCCATCCTACCAAGCGCTGGGCCCCCTCCTCATCTACTCTCCCTGCATTGTTCCTGTGTACCCTAATACCAGGATCACACCCCCTTCCCTTGCAGAGATGGGCGACATGGAGTCCTACAAGGTGATGCTGAATGGACCGGCGCCCTGGGGCTTCAGGCTGCAGGGAGGGAAGGATTTCAGCATGCCGCTCTCCATCTCCAGGGTAAGAGAAGCCAAGACTGGCAACGCCCATCCTTCCCCTGCCTCTGCGGGTGGGAGCCGTGGCAGCTGCGTCCAGGTGGTTGAGGCAGAGCCGTATGGGGGATGCAGATGAGCCAGGGCCCCGGGAGTGCTGCGTCCTGCCCTGCCTGGCTCTGCGTAGCCTCCTCAGAGCCTTATCAGCTGCGGTCTGGCATGGGGGTGTTCCGGGCAGAGGACTGCAGATGAGAAACACTGTACAGCCTCTGCAGAGTCATTCTGGCTGCTGAGGGGGGCAGGGGAGGCCCCTTCCAGAGCGTGCCCGCTGCAGGGGGAGGGGAGCCACTCTCACCATCTCCGAGCCGTGGGGCCGGCTTCCCAGTCCACACCGCGACACTGGACTCAGCGTCCTGGGATCCGGCTTGTGCCCTTCCACTCTCCCTCTCGCTGCGTGCTCCCAGCTCCACACCCGAGCTGGTCCTGGAATGGGCAGGGAGGGGAAGAAGCCTGTGCTGCTGCCCACGCTACTGCCTGCACTGGGATGTGGCTCCCTCCACAAAACCAGCCCGTTTCTCCAGTGTGAGCGAGAGCCATTGTGCTGCCGGCTGCTCGTGGCTGAGGTGTCTGGTGCGAGCTGCTCCCAATGTGATGCTTGCCCAGGCCAGGTCTGGCCCCTGGGTGTGTGCAGGTCCCTGTCCCCAGGCGGCCCAGTCCCCCGGGTGGGTGCTGGCCACGGCTCCGGCCACGCAATTGCCTTATAAGCCTTGGAATGTGACTGCATCGCCCGTGCTGCTGACGCTTAGCAGCTGGCATGGAGGCTGCTTCTCAAAGGATGGCTTTGCTTGTGGCACAGAGTGCTGTGTGGGGGCCTGTCCCTGGCACGTGCACCTGTCCTGGAGGGTGCGGGCCTCCGCAGCACCCCAGCATGGAGCGCAGACCCCGGGGACACTATACAAGGCTGGAGTCACCGGTGCTACTGCCCCAGGGCCTGCCAATCTCTGCCGAGCACGCAGAGATGGCTTCAGCGAGTTTATTCTCTAAAAAATGTTTCTCTTGGCTGCAAGCCAGTGCTTAACAAAGGGTCTGGTCGGATGGAGGAACTTCCAAGGGCCTGGGGCAGGGGCCTCGTGAAGAAACAGCCCCGCTGTGCGTGCAGACCAGTGCTGCCCTCAGGGCTTGGGCAACGCTGCCATCCTGGGCAGGTCAGGCAGGAGCAGTGAGGACATTCCCAGGGGATGCAGCCAGCTTTGGGGGGCTCTCTGGTGAGGCTGGGCTGTGTGGCGGGGTGGTGGGCCCTGTCTGATGGGAAGGAGTGACCCTGCGCTGCTCTGCACCCCGGAGGCATCCCTAGCCCTAAATCTCCTGCCTGGAGCACGCTGCTGTCCTTGGCCCCTGCTTGCCTTGAGCAAGGGCACTGCGAGCAGGGCAGGCTGTCATGCCAGGCCTGGGG